TCTCAAGGGCCACTGTTTTTTAACCACACAAGAATTAGCTTCTGATATATTCTACTGTGAACTGCAATGCGAATAGTCATTGGAGAATACAGATGCTAATGAGACAAGACTAATTTGTAAATTCGGTTTGCCAACATCCGGACCTCGTGCCATTCGCAGTTGACTAAAACTGTCAGCATGAAGGCTGATAATCAAAAAAAAAGCTCAGTTCAGATGGGTTTTACTCCCAAGTGATGGTGAGGATAGTGGAGGAACTGGCTGAAATGAAATCATCCGCCTTAAGGGAATGGCGCCGAGCTGTCTTCACTTCGGTGGCTACAAATCAAAGCTCTCAATTTACTGCCCGGTCTTCTTTCCGACCCCCTTTACCTGTGGTCACAGGCTCTGGGTAGTGACCGAAAAAATTAAATCGCTGACACAAGCAGACCTAGATGAGATTCGTCGGCGGGGTGGCCGGCCTCGCTCTACGTGAGAAAGTGAGCAGCAAACTGAGAGGGCTTCGGTATCGAGCTGCGGTGCCTCTGCGCTAACAGGAGCTCTAGTGGAGGTGGTTGAAGCTATTCATGCCAGATCACTGGGCAGACCAGAACACACTGAGGGGATTACTAATCCCCCAGGAAGAGATGGACGAAGTTGCTGGGGGGGGGAAAGAGCATCGAGGCAGCACTGTTACCACTAAGTCCTCTACGATGGTAAGTGTCTAACACAGACAAGAGAATAGATGATTCCCAGTGTGTCAATTTCAAGAAAAAACAAAAACCCTGCAGGAAAATGTGTCATTGATACGTGACCACTGAAATTCTATCCAAATCTGAAGAAAAGAGCTGCTAATGTACTATTTAAAGGCGTAATCAAGAGACGATCAGTTTGGGGAACTCAGAAGTTGGGATGTCACAAGAACCAATGTCTCAGTACCAAGGAGATGCTGGAATTCTGCAAACATGATGGTATTTGTTTTTTCTATTGTATTGTAGTGGGCTGCAAGGTTGGTAGCACTGTGGCCTCACAGCAAGAAGGTCGCCGGTTTGTGTCCCAGTGGGGGCACCGGGATCTTTCTGCGTGGGTCTGCATGTTCTCCCCGTGCAGCGTGGATTCTCTCCGGGTTCTCCGGCTTCTTCCCACAAGTCCAAAACATGTTGAGGTTAATTGGTGATTCTAAATTGTCTGTACGTGTGAATGTGAGTGTGCTTGGTTGTCTGTCTCTAAGTGTAGCCCTGCGGTGGACTGCCGACTTGTCCGGGGTGCCCTCGCCCTGGGTCGGCTGGGATAGGCTCCAGCCCCCCATGACCCTAGTGAGGATTAAGCGGTGTATAGATAATGGTACCGTAGATACGGCATGCACTTGAAATAATGGAGAACAAATAAAGACTTTTGGCAAATCTACCAACTGTGCATTCAGCCTATTACAATTGCTTCTGCCACTTTGTTTTAACTGTCTTTTTGTTGCACTGGTGTGTAACAGTGGATCACAGTGGATTTTTCTTTTAAACCTATATCATCTCTGGACATGCATTTTGGGAGATTTTTCAGTTTTTTTGCCACATTATTAACACTGTCATTTAACTGCACAAGCACATGCTTTCATCGTTTGCACCAGAGGGAAGCTAATCACGCTGAAGCTGGCTGGCATGAAATTCAGAGCGACGGACATCCCAGTGGAAGTCGATGATGAAGGCATAGAGGATATGGTGAGGAATGAAAAGATGAGGGAAAATGGAAGCGTCCAGCAGTCCAACAAAGACCAATGGAGAGGAGACGGTAGAGGAGCTAAAGGCTCTAGTGAGGAATCAGCAGGACTTCTTTGAGGGTAGTGTCATGTGTCCAGATCCCATCAATACCAACGACAGCTTGTAGACAGGAATAAGTCTGCAAGTGGCAAGCAAAGACGCAGAAGGCTCTCTGGTCACATTACCATGAAGAAAAGTTTCTGCCGCCATCCATGAACTGCTAACCATTGAGCTACGTCCATACTACATACCCAGGAAGCTTCCACATGCCATCTTGGTTGGTGCCTACAGCCTCTACCCGGCCACCACAGACAAGTTACTATATTTGATATCGGAATTTCAATGGTATTAGTAGCAGCCACCAAATTTCCAGTTAGATACTTTCTGTTCCCAGTATGGGCCAATCCCCCAAGATTCCAGATCCTACATTCCCCACAATGCAACACATCATCACAAGGAAATATCTTTTCAGTTGACCCTTGTTTTCCAATGTATAAGCCACATCGTCCTTGGTGTCACCATTAAACTGACCTTGATGTGTAAAATGAGTCTCCACTTAACACTAATGTTTCAGAAAAATGCTCTGTTTATTGATTATTAACTCAGCTGTGTGTTGGATAGTTCACACAATTTCCACCACAAACTAAATATGCAGCAGCGCACCTTCAGAAACCTAAACCGACTAGCAGAGATGGTATTATTGCAGCTTTTGAACAAAGAAACTCGTATCCAGAGGCCTGTATTCAGTCATGACAGCATTAGCAACATCAGCACATTTCATCACACCTCAAGCCTCACCGAGCAAAGTTAAAAAATCAACTGCTGAACAGACTGAAGCTTTGTTCTACAGCTCCAGAACCCAGAGGGCAGGTCTGCCGTCCCATGGGTTATCACCGAGCAGCAGCAGCAGCGCCGGCTGAATGCAGAGACGTGACCGTTCGGAGACAGATGTGTGGGAAGAAGCGGAACCGGACAGCGGAGGAACGATGCGAGGCTACGGAGCGTCAGGAACACGCAACTTAATGTTTTCTTTCTGTGGGTGGAAGGTCAACGAGGCGCATTTACTCCGTTTGAATGTTTCTTCGCCGTTACACCGCCGCCTTTACAGCTGCCTTTTGTCACCTTTGGCGCAGAGACAACATCATTAGAGTGTATACCAAAATAGGCACAGCAGACAGACCAAGACGAGGTTAACTCGATCAGACAGCCGGCTCCCAAACTCTGCTCCCGCTGCAATTTTGGATCTTTTACAACAACAATTTAAAAATCTAGTTTTGTAAAAGCCACATATGAGCGTGAATTTTGAACATGTGTCTTCATGATCATCTAAGAAGATCTACTTAATGATTTCTCCCCTCTGTAAAAGACAGACATAGCCTCGGAGTTTGTAAAGCAAAGCCAACCGCAAAAGTGCTGTGAACCTGAATTTTTTTTGTCAAGGCCAACAGGGAGGTTGCAAAAGAAGTCAAAGAGAAAATGACCCTACTTCCCTCTGGATTTGTTTCCTCAGTAAATGAGTTTAGGCACCAAAGTAAACCAGACAAGGCATAAAATCATCAGGTTTTATAATAATAAAAAAAGATAAAAATGCAATTTGGTGTATAAAAGCCAATGACAGCTCAAAAGAAATTCAAACTCAAGGGGAATCGTGAAAGGCTCCCACATAAAAGTGTGTTTTAAGAAGGAACCTAAAAGAGGTCACTGACTCAGCCGACCTGATTTCCTCGGGCAGATTGTTCCAGAGCCTCGGGGCTTCGACTGCAAACACTCTGTCCCCCTTTAGTTTTGTGGAACAGACAAAGACCTCTGCCCGAGGATCTTGAAGTACGTACCGGTGTGAATGGCACTAAGAGGTCAGCGATACGTCTGGGAGAGAGGCCATTAGGGACCTTACACAAAATCAGTGAAATCGGCCTCAAAACAAACTGGGAGCTGGTGTAAAGAGGCTAAAACATCGGCTATGTGATCGTTGGTTCTGTACAGTTTGGAGTTGGTCAATCGATTTAGTGGTTCAGGCAGGTGGAAAGGCTGTCGCAGTAATGCGAGATAAAAGGTTGTAAAATGGTCTCTGCGTCTTAAAAAGTTAAGTAGATCGTATTTTCTAAGTGTATGTTTAAGGTCTCTATCATTACTTTATCATCTCAATCTCTGGCTTTAAGCGTCCTTCAATATGTTCATTTTGTAAATCACAGTCTCATATCGAATAAAATAGACAAAAAACTGGCTAAATTTGCGGGTGTGGCTGCGTAGTGATTGACAGCAAGAGTAAGACGCCGACGGCCAAATGCCACAGTTGATGTTTCAAATCAGTAGTCACATCCATCTTTTATACAAAGTCCATGTTTCTTCCCAAACTTCTGCTGCAGATTTCTCTTATTTTAAGCTACAGTGTCAACAACACAGGAGGTAACATGTTTCAGTCTCCACCCGAGTGTTTTCTCCATAAATCGGTGTGTAAATCAGGCTTTCTCCGTTGTAAGGTGAATGTTAAAATTCTCTTTTGGCTTTGTTAACCGCACATTATCATCCCACTTCCTACAGTCACACACTTACTGCAGGATGTAACAACCTACCCTCCAGATGCTCATTATTCCTCCTACAAGTACAATCCTTTACAGACCTCAAGTTCTTAGGAAAGCACTTAAAGCCCTCCACTGAACCCCCCCCCAAAAAAATCTCTGTAAAATAGTGGAAGAAGTGGAGAACAATCTGAACAATAGTCCGATAACATACTCTCCCACAGCTTGGAGTGTCCCTATCTCTGCCGTCTCATAAAAAATTTATGCACCCGAGCTCTTAAAACTCAGACAAGGAGAGCCCATTTCACCAGCTGGGAGAAGTTCAATTCTCTCCAGAATCTTTCCTAGCAAAGAAAAAAAAAAAGCTTCGAAAGCCACTTGGCAGAAAAGTGAAATCCTATTAAATCTTTCAGCAAAGCTTCCATAAATAATGTGAGGCAAGTGTCCCAAGTCACACTTCTGGCTGTCTGTTAAAACAGAGCAGTGTCCACTTTCTTAGAAAAAGCTATTATTAGCAGACAGCAGCTAAATCTCAGTCACTTTTGAAGAGCAGAAATGAGACTGTGAAAGTCTTTGTCAACGGTTTGCATGTTGTAACACACGCAGACGTGCATCTGTCGGTGGCACAACCCTGTTCCATGAGCTCGTTGACCTTCTTGACCTTCTTCAAAGGTCTTCTACTAACAAATCAATAAACTTTCTTGCAAACCTAATACGGTTTTACCATAAAAGACATGAGAAATGACAGTCCTACCTCTTTCACAGGTACTATCCCAGTAGCCAGTTCCGGTGCAGTCACAGATGAAGCGGTTCCACCCCTCCTTACACGCTCCGCTGTTCTTGCAGGGGTTGCTGTCGCACTGTTTCCCCGTCACCTTGCTGCACGACGACTTGATGCCGGTCATGTTCTGCGACTGCGCTATCTGTCGGATGTCCTTGCTGCGTCCGTCGATGAACAGATCCCGGACGCAGCCCACGTAGCCGTAGTTGAGCATAGCCGTCCAGAGCTCGGTGGGGAGCACCAAACCCACCCGGTTGTCGGGCAGACCACCCAGATACAGGTCCCCCTCCAAGTCCAAGATCTCATTTTCCCCGCTGGCTGTGAAAGGGGTCCGGCGGCTGTTTACCGAGATGATGCCTGGAGAGAGGAGGGGAGGGAAAGCAATTATTACAAAAAACGTACATGTCAACATGTCACGTAATCGACTCCCGAGAAAGCGAAATAAATAAAATAAAAAACTGCCGGTGGAACGAGATAATGTTATTTTGTTTCTTGTTGATTTTTTGTTTTCAAATCAAGTGTCATACTCTGCTATTTAAGCGATCTGTCACATTTTGCCTGCTGCCAAAAAATAGCTTTTGCAGCTGCTAAAATCCTGAAATAACAGAAACTGCACTGAACACAAGTGACATTTATTGCCCTCTATTTACAGTACTTGGAACTTTTCAAAGAGACTGACAGCCGCCCTCCTTTTTTTTTTTTTTTTTCATTCATCAAAGTGAGGACAAAGGTGAAAATGATAGATGTTTGGTAATTTTTTTTTGTACCCAAAAAAAAGTCCGAACAAAGTGTGAGATATATGCAGCACAAGCTGTGAAAGAGGCTGACAGAAATAGCACAGCGCTAAAACGTGGTCTGAGTAGGTGGAGGTACAAAACCTATGTTTGGCAGCCAAAATTGCACTGATCACCGACGTTCTAACGCTCTCTGCAGGGGGAGTCACACAATCACAGAATAGAGGGCAGAGAAAAATCAGTCAGGGGGAAAAAAAAAAGAAGCTTGTATCCAACAAAACAACCACTGCTGGCACAAGGTCGGAGCGTATGTCACCATCAGCACCAGAAACCACACATTAAACACTTCTACAGTTTCAGGATTTATATCCGCTCACCGGCTACTTTATTAGGTACACCTGTAAAATCCAATGCAAGCCGACCCAGCAGCTCGGCCATAAATTCCACTTTTTTTTACGAAGCTTCTGCATTTTTAGTTTTTGCAGACGCTGTGAAAAAAGGTGATAATTCTACTTTCTATTTATTATTGAGGTCTTAGAGGGTGGCGATTAATATTCATTGCAGATATATAAGAAATTGAAAGATGTTATATTGCTTCATCATTTAATAATTTTTTCTGTCATCGAGCATTTCTTACGGACAAAGCCGGAGAAATCTTCTAAAATATTAAAAGTGGACTTTATTGAAGCTGAGAAACGCAAATGTCATTGTGGGTCTGTGCGTAGGAAATTTCAAATTAGCAGCATATTCACACTGTAGGGTAAAATCGCTTAGTTATGGCATTAAAAAAAAAAAAAAGTATAAATCATGGCTGTGCTGCTGAATTAGATTTCACAGGTGTACCTAATAAAGTGGACTGTGCATACATCCCACTACAGAGCCACAAATTAATCGAGCTCTGTGCGTGGGTCACAAAGTTCAAGCCAATTAAGACGAAGCTTTGACGAGGTTTATATATAAAACTAATTAGCAAAAGAGGGAAACACAATTACCACTAATGTATTATTGAATCCAGCAGAGATCAACAGCTTATCTCATCTGATATTTAGTATGTTTCTTATTATCAGTGTTGTTGTTGTTTTAAATTTA